TTGTACGATTGCTGGGCTGATCCCAGTAATGTCGCCTGAGCTCCATGCGAAAACGTTCAGGTTATCTATTAGGCATTTCACCAACTTTCCTTTTTCGTCAAATTCCAACCTAACCCCGATGCTGAACTCCCGCCTTCTGATACGGGGATCTTTTCGATCATGTCAAGTGGTTTGATCCGCCCTCGTGGAGGCTCGACATCTAGCATCATGACCGGTAGTGCTCCTCTAGCTGATGTTAGTCGACATAACATATCCTGGATGCTTGTTGATCACCTCACACGCACTCGACCCCCTGCTGGTTGGGAATTTCATGACCAGGTAATAGATTGAGGGGATGGCCCCGGCTGCATCAGTAGTGGTCGACCATAGATTGCATTGTAGGTGATGGGGGTTTTGACATCTTAGAAGCTCGCCACAATCACTATAGTGGTTGGCTATCTTCCTAACGTGACTGGAAGCTGCACAGTCCCTTTTGAAATTACTGTGGCCCCTCCAAAACCCTATAGGAGGTAATTCGACTGAAGCTGGCCAAGTATTCTTGCAAAGACTCGTCTTTCTTCTAAAAGACTTGCATCAAGCCAATAGTTGCCTTCCTCTTCCTCTTACTATGAGGAAGTAGACCACAAAACTCCTAGAGAGTTTATCAAACGTTTGGATAGACTGGGGGCTAATGTCGCCATGCCACCAAGTCCCTAGCTTCTTTCTTGAGGGTCGGGGGGAAAGACTGACACATTACTGCATCGGGTGCTGCATAGAGCCTTATTAAATCAATGAAGGTCCGGAGGTGGTCAAGCGGATCCATGACCCCGTCGTAAGCTTCTATCATGCTTGAAGCCCTTAAGTAGATGGATCGCCATAATTTCAGGTGCGTACGAGTCTTCTTCCAAAACAATCTGCATACGCTTGTCCTTTCTCCTGGATAATGCATCATTTATCTTCTGCATCATGATCTCCTCCATCCTTCGCTCCAGAACTGCCACGGGTGACGAGGTTGCTTGACTGTCATCCCTGGAGACCCCAAGCCCCCTGTCACCGATTGGATGACAGGTGGGGCTTCAATGTACGTCCCCTAGGGTGGCGGCCTCCGTCGAGTGGGGCAATAGGAGGGTGGCTCTCTGCATTTAATTTTGCAAAAGGGTCATCATCATCGCCAACTGGGTCTCTAGGACGTTGAATTGGCTTTGTGTCACACACTGTGGTGGAGGCAGTGGGTCGAGGCCCCTTGCGACTAACTCTGACTCCATCTCTTTCGCAGTCGTCTTTAATCATGTATTACTTCTTATTCATCTTCTTGACATAACTTTTGTGTTCAATGGAAGTAGCTTCCCACAGACGGCGCCAATGAAATGGTGGTGGAGTAATGCCTCCTGATCTGCCTCGCGGCCTTTGGTATTTTTGTTACTCTGACGGGTGTATGTAACCTGAAAAGTGAGGACGGGGCTTTCTCCCCCGTTTTACCTCCGGCGTGAGAATCAATATACTTGTTAGGGGAAAAAAAAGTCGAAATTTAGATGGCTGAAAAAATGTAGTCATCCATAAATGTGTCGCCCTCGGGGGTATTTATAGACGTTGGAAGCCGAGTGAGAGCCAGGTAGTTGTGGTGCCACGTGTCCCCACGTTGGCCTTCCCATTACCCCCACGTTCTGAGTGGGGGGTCTTAACTTCTCGCACGGAGGTTGTGCTCGTGGTAACCACTACGTGACCTTGTCAATTCATCAGAGATTTTATAGCTAGGTGTTGAGATGACTCTATAGGTAATTTCATGCCGGTCGATGGTCTACCGTAAGGGTAGAGCGTCCATGGGAATCGATGGCCTCGCGTGGAGTTAGAGCGCTCATGGGGGGTCGACTATCTTGCGTCAGCGTGTAATGTCTTACCTTGCTCGTTATCGTCGTCTACGGTATCCAATATCAACGTCCACCCTTAATTCAAGCAACAGTGGCCGTTAAAACATTCTGCAAAAATGCACCCCTTTTATATATTCTAAAAAAAAAATGTAAAATGCAGCTTTTTTCAAATTTTTGGATTTTTTTTTTTTAAATTGGTCTTATGGGTGATCAAACTTGGCTCGACCCATGATTCCCACAAGCCCAATTTTTCTCACGAGACGAATCAGCCACATATGATGGGCCGAGCCAACAGACTTCATGTGCCTTTACTTATTGAATGATGATATCTACCGTTGGTGTTAGATCATCATTTTATGTGATGTTATATGATAGATTCAATTGAAATTGAAATTATGTAATTCATTTAATGGTATCTTTTATTTAGTGATACTTAAACTGTTGTTTTATTATTAGTAATGCTAAAAAGCATTACTCTTGTTTTCATGCTTTGCTTATTTTATCCTATATCTTATTTATAATCAAAATAAGATTTTAGTTAAAGGATAATTTAGTCAAAGGATTTAAAAACCTTTTAAAATCATTATACCATGTCCAAATATACTCCCCTGTTAAAAAAAATAAAAAATAAAATTAAAGGCTAAGAATATTATTTGTCAAATTTATTAGTAGTAAAAAATAGGAGTGGGCGTGGTTCAGTTCGATCCGGTTCTAAAAGGAACCCAATCGAACCGAATACCAATTAGAATTTTAGAAATGGAACCATTGGTTCCATTGTTAGCTATGGAAATGGAACTGAATCGGAACCGAACCAATCGGTTCCGGTTCGGTCCGGTCCGGTTCTTTACATAAAGATGTCAAAATAAAATATTTACTAATAAAAAATCTAAAGAAACTACCAATGTGATATTTTTAAAAAAATATAGAAGAACCGAACATATTATACAAAGATTAAAAGAAAACTAAGTATACAAATTTTAAAACAATATCCAAATGATATAAGTTACTATTATCAAACAAATATTAACTTATATAAATCGTCTAGTACTTCAATGATTAAACAAACTTTCATCAAAATGAAAACAAAATAAAAGTGTTTGAAAAGTAAGTCATATATTTTACTGAAAAAAATGCCAACTGAAGGGTCCTTTTTAACATTTTCTTGAGCCTTCAGGTAATCACAATTCAATATTTTTCTCAATTATTTAATTAAAAGGTGACATATGAATTATATACATAAACATTCGTTTCATTTCCATATGTCACTGCCTTTTGCTTAAGTTGTTATAATACAATTTTTTTTTTTAATTTTTTTTTACTTTGATGGAAGTTTATTTTCACTTTAAGAGTAAGTCATATATATTACCAATTTGGTTTCGGGACAAATTGGAGAGTAAGTCTTATATTTTACCAAAAAAGAAAAAAATGCCCACTAAAAAAAATTCTATGAGAACCGTTTGGTTCACCACGGTTCCCATACTAGAACCAAGAACCGGAGTGAAACCGATCGGTTCTTATAATTTGTCCCGAAACAAAATTATTTTTTAGAAGAACCGGAATCGAACCGGCCGGTTCTAAACGGTTCCCGTCCGATTTCACCGGTTCCGGGAAAAATGCCCCCTCCTAGTAAAAAAGACCTCCTTTAAAAAAATTAATTAGAAATACTTTAAAATAAAAATATTTTTTAACAACTTACGTACTTGTATTTTGAATACTTGAAGCAACTATATTTCATTAATAGTACTTTTCTTTAAATATAATAACTTATTTTCCATTATACGATATTTTTGTAGAAAACTATATTGAATTATATCTTTTTACTAATTTATTCTATTAAATGAATTTATTGAAAGGGAAAATTATCGACGGTCTTATAATTTTGAAAGCCAAAGTTTCACTATTATCATAGTTAGTTTATAGAATTGATAAACACAAGATTTTACTCTCCTTTTATATGCCAAGATAACCCTACTTCATACCCCCAAGAGTTTGTTAAGCATGTCCTTTACTCCACAACACATGAGCTCAAGCCTAGTGTTTGTCTGAATAAAATTATAATGGGATTATAACGAAACTTAAAAGTGGGTCCACAAGCTATGTGAATAATAAGTGAGTAGTAATTGTGAATGTATAGTTAAAAATCAATGTTGACTTTAACTTTAAATTATAATTTATACCAACGAGCACTATGTGCATGACTTGGTCAATGTACATCAAGGGACGGGACACACGGCTCCCAAAATGTATGGGTCCTATAAAATATCTCAATAATAATGGATGGATCTAACAAAGTACATCAATAAAAATTCAATCAAGCTATGTTGTTAGGAAGGGCTTGATAGCTCACTCACAATACATTTTTTATTCACGCGGGTTCAATTCACATGGGAGTGAGGGTCAATTAAAGTGTCAAATTTTTACAGATAGAAGAGATTTATTCATAAAAATTAAGTTTTGAGTACTATGTTATGACAACTATTAGGGTGTAGGTTAGCTCATTTTAGTCAAATTTGAGGTCGGCATCCGTGCACGATTATCTTTGCCCGAATAATAACGTTAGCTTTTTCTTCATCACATTCCAACTTTAGGTTGGCTCATTTAATTCTGTCTGCATTATTCATTCAGAAACTGTTCATATCGTAGTATTTTCTGTAGTTGTTTATCCATGTGCGAGCATATATATGCAGTATATATCAGAAGAATAAACAAAAGAATGGCAAGTCCGCATTAGAAACATAAGGTCTGTCTCAAAGAAGCATCATACATTTCCGATGCCTAAATTCCCGTCCATCAATAATTTAGGTGACAACGCGGGATTTCAGGACAAAAGTTGTAAACAAAATGCGGATGCTCTATAAAACTGAGTAATTGGGCAATGACCATTATGGATTTATATTATTGGATGGGAACTAAATTAAAGTGTGAGCCTCAAAGTCAAATTCTGCAATGAAGAAATAATGGCAGAAGTGCTGGCATTAACAGTATGAAGCAGAGGACAGTTGAGAGAAGTAAATAAGTTGTCCAATTATGAAAACATACATTTATGTTATGCAATAGAAGGGGACAGTTAATTAATATAGTGGACCTACTTACCATGTGATATATATTTTACTATATATAGGCCAAGTTCAAGAATTGTGTTGCATGTCTAGGATGAGTTCGTTTTCAAGTTGTGTTGTGGTTTTTGTGTCGATTGTTTTGATATTTGATGGTGTAGTATTTGCTGATGTTAGGGAAGATGAAGGAGATAAGCACTTATTTCGTGGGCCTGGTCTTGGAGGTGGTGCAGGTGGTGGGTTCGGTGGAGGTGGTGGTTTAGGTCATCGTGGAGGTCTTGGAGGTGGTGCAGGCGGAGGGGGAGGTCTAGGAGGTGGGGGTGGACTGGGTGGAGGAGCAGGAGGTGGTGGTGGACTGGGAGGTGGATCTGGAGGTGGACTTGGTGGAGGAACAGGAGGTGGTGGTGGACTAGGTGGAGGAGCAGGAGGTGGTGGTGGACTGGGAGGAGGAGCTGGTGGGGGACTTGGTGGAGGAGCAGGAGGTGGAGCTGGCGGTGGACTGGGAGGAGGAGCTGGTGGAGGAGCAGGAGGTGGTTCTGGAATAGGTGGAGGAGCAGGTGGTGGAGGAGGCCTGGGAGGTGGAGCTGGTGGTGGACTGGGAGGAGGAGCTGGTGGTGGAGTTGGTGGAGGAGCAGGAGGTGGAGCTGGTGGTGGACTTGGAGGAGGAGCAGGAGGTGGTTCTGGACTAGGTGGAGGAGCAGGTGGTGGTGGAGGCCTGGGAGGTGGAGCTGGTGGTGGACTAGGTGGAGGAGCAGGTGGTGGTGGAGGACTGGGAGGTGGAGCTGGTGGTGGTCTTGGTGGAGGAGCTGGAGGTGGTGGTGGACTTGGTGGAGGTGCAGGAGGTGGTGGTGGACTTGGTGGAGGTGCTGGTGCTGGAGCTGGTGGAGGATTGGGAGGAGGAGGAGGTGCAGGTGGTGGTGGTGGAGGCGGCTTTGGTGGGGGCGGAGGCTTTGGTGGTGGTGGTGGCCGCCTCTAATTTATTTGCCTCTTGCATTGATTAAAGTGGTTAAGTGTGTGTTAAGTGAATTAGGGGTTCCTTAGTGAATAGAATAGCAATGAGAATGGGTACTGCTTTGTTATTTGTTGAAAATGTATGTATACATGAGAATGGGTTAGCCATATCCATTTTACATGAGTGACTACTCGCATTATTAATAAAGTTTTGTTGGTCCATCTATTCAGTTATATTACTTCATAAGGCGAACTCATATTTACCGTAGGTATATAAAGCTTTTGTTTAGTTATGTTAAAAATCATATTTTTAGTAGATTTTGATAAAAGTTGATTAAATTTGTGGGTTCTATGAAATTTTTTACTTTCACTTAAATTGTTATCAAATTTTTTAGTTAAATCAATCGGGACTAATTATTGGCACTAGTTTGGTAAAACATAAAACCATAGTTATTGTTCATAATGATGATGGGCTTTTTGAATTGGATATGGTTTTATACAAATTTTCCTCTATTGGAGTCTTTCCAATCAGCAAAAAAAAACTTTTTAGAGTATGAAAACAAATCAATACATAAAGGAGGTACGAGTTTAGAGAAGAGTAATGGTTGTGAGTACCATGGAAGGGCGTGACATCGACAACTTACTCATAGATAGAAAAATGTTATCTTCTCCTTACTATTGTTCCACACTCTCTCCATTTTGTTAATTTGATGGTGAATTCGTCATTTTAAACTAGCAAAACAATTTTTTTGCAAAAACCGTTATCAAGCATGGCGGTCGCTAGTTTTTGAATGACAAAAAATGAAAGATTGCAGATAGAAGTATTAAAAGGATATATTTTTTTGGAACAACCACCTCGATTTAGCCTTTTCCTAGTCTTAAGTATAACATTCAAAATTCGACTGGATTGATTGGTTCCAACCTACGAACCGAATGGTGGTCCTGTTTGGATGCCTTAAAGGGTTCACTAAACAAAAGAACCGAATAAGAATTGGTTACACCACTCAATAACCGTCCAAATAGGACAGATTTAAGAGGAAAACAAAACTTCAAAGCAAAATTTTAAATTCAATTTGCAACGATAGAGATTCAAACTTGGGCAACCAATATTAAGAGTTTGTTTAAGAGTGATTTTGAAAATTGACTTTTTGATCGTTGGGAGAAAAGTAAGGTCCACTTATGAAAGAAGAAGTCAAATATGACGGTTGGAATAGTGAAATAACGATCAAAAAATCAATTTTTTTGAGGAAAAAATCATTCCCAAACAGGCTCTAAATATCACAACCATGACCATTATGGTACCTATAGAGCATTTGTAATCAATGTGAGCAAAATAATATATATTTGACAATATTGTTGTCTTGTGTTTTAAAAATAATTTTTTTTAATTAAAACTATCGTCTAGCAATGATCCACTGATTTAACCACTGAATCGTGGACCCGATAATTTTACCGAGCCGGCTCTGATAAATATGAGTCTAGAGACCTCTCATGCTCAAGTGATTACAAAAATAATTACGATTATTCTTACAATCTATGACAACATGATGTATCACATCATTGTGACATCCACTTATGATCATCACAATTTACTCCATTGCTAATCTCTTCCATCTCTCTCGTTTCAATCAAGAATATCACACAATTCTAAATTATCTGAAATGCTTACATTACTATAGAGGCTCGATGCCTTTGTTCGACTTTGATGCCACTTATAAAAATTGGAGTTCTATCACAAACCTAAGTTAGCTATGTGTTCATACTCCAATAGATAGAGTGGACATTTTAAACCAAAAAAGAATTAGTAAATGGACATTTTCCACGCTAAGCTTGTGAGAAGGCCATTTTGAATAATTCATTGGAGTTTATTTCATAAATTCATATGGTGTCCGTAAATATTCGTTAAAATCTCAAACTAGTTCTTTAACTAACCAGTTTCATTGTTGGATTTTTCCTTGAGTACGAAGAAAATTTATAGAATTCGTTCAGGATTTTAAAATGGAAAAATCATTTCAAAAAATCTTTGAATGATATTTTGACACGTGTTTATGAAAAATTTCTTGTGCACAATCCTTGTATATACACTCAAATTAATCTCATGATTCTGCCATTCTTGGTGTGAAAAAATTTTATAGTTACAGTCACCAACTCAATTTCACGTGCAGGATGTGTACGAAGATGAGCAAAGACAACTAGTGCAAATTGTTTACAATCTAAGAACGACAAATAACTGGTAGATACTATCTAAGTTCTATAAATATTACAATCTAAAGTTCATGAAAATATTTCGTATTTCAGTATCCGAGTTAGCACTTCTATGCTTCTTCAAGTTCATCAAAAAAGAGCATATTAGTTTGGATCGGTCTGCTCGTTGTTGAAGCGCCTCAGCTTCAACCAATGCCATGCAATTATCGTACGGTTCGAACCATCTTGCCCATTTTTACCAAGTTGTCCCCGTTTGGACTCCATTATTTCAAATAATAATGAAAGAAATAGTAATTTTTTAAAAAATGTATAGTAAAAGAAAAAAAATTTATATATAATATTATTTTATTAGAGAATGTTTAATTGATAAGAAGAGAGAGAAAAATAAATTTTAATTTAACGGGGTGGAGCTTAATTATTACAACGACATCCCATCTAAGCATCAATAATTTGCATTGGTATTGCAAAAATTATCAAACCACTTTTTTTCGACCAACTTGGTCTGTGGGGTCCATCTCTTCACACAAACAAATGCAAAAATCCAAATAATTTTCAAGCAAACAAGTGAAAAATCACTGTGCAATGGAGACGAAACAGTATTACTGCAAATTTTGACCTTATCACTGCCATGTCTATCTTGAAACAAATTTCACAACTGAAATTATTCAAATGTTTCAAATTCTCACTCATAGATTCAATGTTTTTGATATAAACTTGATAGCATTCAAAGAGTAAAACCAGTTGTTACTGTTACTTCGATAATTTCTCGACTGAGAAAAAAGAGAAGAGAAACAGCTAAGATAGTGATGAAAAGCTTATGAAATTTACATTGATGTACAAATTACGAAAAATGTTAATGAGATAAAGTTGATGTCAGGTTGTACGTCCCCTCTTAAGTTTAAATTTTTATACTATTTTCATATTAATAAATATTTTACCACGCGATGGTTTGAGAGAAATAAAAAACGAAAAGACAAGAGGGTCGTATGGAGAACTGGGTAAGAAATCAGAATAGAGTCCGACCATATCAACAAAGCAAGGAATTATTGTATGATATTATACATAATGGCTAAGATCAAAGAAAAAGTAGTGTAATAACCTCAAACTCTAGGATAAGAGTGGCGAAAGCCAACCATCCAATACTCGACTAGACTAGGAAAGCAAATTCTGTTCAATCTAACGTACCGCACATGGAACTGTTATCAGTTGGACTCGGGATTCGGACCGCTAGGGACTTCATGTGCAGCTGTCTTAAATTCTTGATTTGTGGTTTCTCTTGGATGCAACTTCATGGTGAATTGCTTATTTGGTGTAGAGTTCAGAAGGATTCTTCCTGTTGATGCTAAGGGACCCTCTAGTGTCACTGAAAAGTCGAGACGACGAGCCGAGGCCGGAGAAATCAAGATTAGTAGAAGAAAAATGGAAACTTTTGCGAGAATTTGCCAGAGTTTGTGAGCATTTTTGCTGGTTTTTGCCATGAAAAAGTAGCCAAGATAATCCAACCCCCACTACCCTCAGAATTGAAATCAATATCCATGTACAAACTGGATTTCTCCAAGTTTGAAACAATGGAAATACAAGAGAACAAGCAAAGAAAGAACAATTTTTTTTAATAGCTTCCTTTGTAAGAGATTTATAAAGAAGATCACGTGACTACTTTTTGTAAACTTGACGTGTTGTCCCTCTCTCATTCTTTTTCCAATGATACCCTTGATATGGGACGAAAAAATGAGTTTTTGTTATAGAATATTTGTATATAACTAGATATATTTTCAGACATATTGTAGATACTAATTAAATAATAGCAAAAAAGTTTATATTTATTCTTCTTGATACTATGCATGAATCGTGTGTATCGTGAGAAATTCTTGAAAAAAATTGTCTTCCACAACTCATAAACGAAGATTTGGACTAAGTATTTACATAATCTTCTTCTATATAAAGAAATGGTTCATCGAAATAAACAATTGCCGTTGATATCGATATTGACCATCTCAAAATGATTCATTGCCACATTTCCATTTATGTACTGATTTTATTAGATTACAATAAAAATATTTATTTCAAAGTGTTATGCTTTAAAAGCAATTAAGTCTCTGTTAAAATATAGAAAAAAAAAATTATAAAATACACATTGATTTTTTGTAATATTCTAGATGACCCCTTTGTTGACACAGATAGAAGCGTAATAAGAAAAATGGAATATGTCAAAATTTGTTGACTCACATAGAATATTAGGAGTTGACAATCAATTGATTCGCCGACATAAATATTTGAAACCTATTTGATTGTAAAGAAATCCCAAACTCAAAGTTAATAATATGGTAAAATTTCGCCCTTACCACTTCAACTAAACTTTGACCTTAACATAATTTGAACTCTAACTTAATAAAATGATATTATAATTAAAAAAATGAATCAAATCAAGCCAGAGTCCTTTTATGTTTTGTAGTGCATCACTAGCCATCCTGATGAAAAAGAGAACATAAAAAACACCTCTTTTCTTGGTTATTAGCTGTCACTTTTGATTCAAAGGGACAGATGAAAGCAATAAAATTTAGGACTATAGAGGCTTTTTCTTGTTGGAATCTTGACCAAGAAAACTGTGTACTTTGACTTGGAAAGTTGTAGCACCTGTTCCCTTGATTGAATGCACAGTTCCCCACCATCTTTTACAAGTACATGTTTTGTTACCACAAGAAAAGTTAAAAAGTTATAATTCTACATTCTTATTGAAAAAATCAATGTAGGTAATTGACACAAATCGTTTTTATCATGTCTTCATTATATAAATCGTTCATGTCATCACACTTTTAATATTTGGATCCTCGGATCGATCATTCTTTGCACAAATCTCTCATTTCGTTTCATTCCTTCCATTTGATCCATCAAATGATCGGATAATGTGATTTGTCTAATGACATTTTGATAAATGCACTAAATAACCATCTTTTCCCTCCTAATTCTAGCCAATGGTAATATCATGTATATAAATTATATACTTGTATCTGTATGAGTGCGTATATATATGTGTGCGAGTACAAAAAACACTCCTAAAATCTTCTTTATGCAATGGAGAAAAAACAATGAACACTTACTAAACTCTACCCTAAGTCATATGCATAAGAAATCCTGCATCTTAGATTGTTTACAAGCTCGAAGGCAATTTTGAATTGGATATTGTACATAATTTCTAATTGGATGGTCGAAATGATAAGTTTTCACTAAGCAAAACTAACTTTTGTAGACATCTTACAAGTTAACTGGTCAAACCTCAAGTTTGCTTTGCAAAAGTTGAATATATTGGACAAATATCAAATTTCTATGCAAATATTGAGTTTTCTATGCAAAAGACGAAATCAACTACCTCATTGACCAACAATATATTTCATCATCGGACAATGAAGCAGCTGATATAGAAGAAATTGAACAAAAAGCTGCCAAATTGTCCTATTTCTCTAGATAGCATATTTCCTGTCACAAACATTTATCACAACCAAGTGGCATTAAGTGATAAATCTAATAGCATTATTCACTTTGAACCCATAGGGGACTCAGCTACCACAGCCCACAATTCCACATCCTTACATCGCCGAAGGGTGATTTGGCCATGTTTACAACGAAATACAGAACGTTCACTCATAAACAAAAGGTCCAAAACGGGGTTTATATGGTCGTTTATCAAGATTCAACAAGCTAAAAACTCAAATAGTTTTATTGGTATGTATAAATTAAATACAAAAATGGGTTCCACGTGCACTACTCAGCATAACCGATACAGAAAATACATAAATCCAGAACCGAGCTACCGAAATACATATAGCAACAGATAACTCAAGTCCCTTCTTCAGCAATGTCCACAGCCAACATCCTACATTCCTCTCCCCCCTGTATATATTGTTCCCCCAGTTCATCAAGCCACATATAATTGAGCTAAGCAAATACCAGAGCGCTGAATATGAATAGAATTTCACTAGTAGTTTAAAGGAAGAAAAGGCAGTTTCACTATCGTAGATTTCGATCACATCAACACAAAGTTGCATGGTGGCCTGGGAATCCCGGATGTTCAATGAATACGATAAACAGCTTCCATGAAATATTAATCCAGCTTGACATTAGAATAAAGCAGTGTGTCCTTGGTAAGAGGCATGTTCAGAAGAAAGAATACCTGCATCATCTCAAAATAAAAGGACACAATAATTATAACAGCAAATCAAACATGAAGTCAGAAAGATTCATATTAGCATACCAATATCAAACTGAGATCGATACGTACCAACATTTTATAATTACAAAGATAAAACCAAGCCATTGGTGACCACAAAAGTCGTTCTTCATGGCCTTAGTCTGAATCCTAAAAACCTTTATCAATCTCCATCTTCATTTTCTTAAAGCCCATTACCTTCCAATCTAACTTAAACAAGCCACAATCAGCATTGCAAACTTCAAATTGTTTACACTATCAAATTTTGGCTTGGCTCCCTATCACGCACAGTGTGAGCCTACACGAGCCCTATGCCCGACCTCACTTTTCTTGGTGACCAATTGCACACAAGGTTCTTGCTGTTACTTCGTCCAACTTCTCCACATAAACTGGTTTAAGTGAATTATTTATGGGTTGCCAACTTCATAACTCATCAATGCCCAACCATTTATTTCCTAGCTGTGGCCTTGTTATTTTGGGGTTTCAAAAACAAATTAGCTCACCATTATACTGTCAAAGAGTCTCAAGCACCATATTTGGTTCAACAACAAAGCACAACCAAGAATGATGACTAATTAAAGCATTTTGAATTACCAGTTTAAGGTCAAAATTTTTTGAACTTCAAAGAAATCATAATGTTGTAAAAAAATTGCGAGAAAATGTGACTTAAAGCAAGCAATGCAAGTTAGATTACCAAAGCAGTAGTTCAACAAAGCAATGCAAGTCCTATTTCAAAAATTTAATTAAAGCATAAAGGACTGTGAAGGGAATATGTTAATAGAAACATACCCCCAGAAAGGTAGCAATCAAAAGAATGATTCCTGTTATCCATGCCAGGGTCCTTCTAACCAATATCACTTCTGCGATAGTGGTTAAATTAGCAGGGACCTTTGTTTCCTCCAACAGACGTGGAGATGGTCGAGAAGTGACGACCACATTTAACATATTCTCCGATTCCGGTGTAATTGTTTCACCATAGACAATGACTCCAACAATCTGACCTGCTCACGTATTACAAAATATTAGTTGCTATGATGCACAATGACAACAGAAAAGGACCTGAAAAAAATAATAAACAGAACTGCAGAATGATAATAGTTGAGAACTACCCAAATAGAAAAAGAACTGCTAACTTTTTAGCAGTAATATTAATTAATAATTGTCAGAAGGTAATCCGTCAACATTTTCAACATACAGGAAGCATGAGAAAGCAACAAAAATACAGTATAATCTCTGACTCAGAGAAAGGAAGGAAAAATGAAAAATCAATGTTGAAAAGGTACAATTGAAACAGCTAAAAATCGTTATATAGTTGTGATCAGAAGAGACCATCAGACCTTTGTATGCAGCCTGTAAGGAATCAAATATCTTAGAAACTGAAGTAACAAATACTTCTAGTCCATTCTCAGCAATGCCTTCTGCTCCATAATGTTCTTGCAAAACCTGTGAGGCATAGCATAAATATATAAGCACAAAACCTGACTCGGAATGTGTTTAGCAGATGCCTATTTATAAGCATTCAGAACTATGATATGTGTTAAGGTACCTATTCTAAACTCAAAGTAGTGCACCCTTGCTACTTCAAACATTGACTTCACCTATATGAAACTTTTACATTGTTAGCTGGGGTATTCTCAGCTCATATGACATAAGTTCCCTCCAAGGATGCTCAAGAGAAAGGTCTGCAGCCAATTGATCTCTTTCCCACGCACATAGAGTACATATAAAAAGGTTAAGAGAATACCCGAATAAAAATGGTCGTTGAATATTATATCACGTGTGCTTCCTATGGAACAGGCAAGAGAGGGAAAGAACAGTTCCCACAACCTAGATGATAGAACTGAAAAACCTAGGATGTAGAAGATCATGCCATGAGTGATTCGGTCTCAACTCCCACTAATGAATCAGTTATCCATTTTAGATGGCAGTTTTGTGTCTCATCATATATGTTTTCTCATACTTATACCATTGTGGCAAAAATAAATAACAACAAAAATTCTCCCTAGATATTGGAAATGTTTGTATTCCATTCAGTACCATTTTTCTCCCCCAGCAGCATCGAATTCTATCTTCGGATACTCAGTTTTAGTAAAAGGGAAACATGCAGAAAATGAAATCAAGAATCTATAAACATCTTACTACAGGCATACATTAACTTAAAGTTTTCAAGCAGCTTAAATAGACTGGGTTTTAGCAAACTTCCACCTAGATAACTAATCCTCTTTCCATAAATAACAATAAGCAAAATCATATACCAAATTATGAAATGAATCAAAAAGAGAATTTTTTATCACCTTGATTCCATCAAATCTCCCAGCAATTAGCTCAGCTGGACCATGCAGGCTTTCAGACAACTCCTGATGCATGTCTATTGCTCTTCGAATATTATGAATGAGAGATACAAGACTTCTTATGAATTCCTTGTCAGCATTCTGCCACGTTCAAAAGAAAATTCTTTACCAAAAACAAAAACAAGAGAGAAGTAACAAATGCTCAAGAAGTCTATTGCTCATATTCAACATGGAAAGGTTGAATTTGAAGAATAACCTTGGACATAAAAAGTCTTAGATTGGCTCCATTTGCCATGGGGATTATCAACTCTCCATTCAGTGGCCCCGATGCATCTTCTACATATGATCCACCCAACCAAGATGCCTAATAGATAAACCAAATAATGCCTAAATAAGCTTAAAAAATCTTCAAAATGGGCGGGATGGAGAACCGAGGGAGGAAAGAGAGTCAAGACTTACAAAATCACTGAGTTTTTCATCCGAGAATTCAGCATAGCTCAATAGATCGCTCAAAGAGAACACAGATACTTTATCTTCATCTGCACAAATGTATATAATATAGAAATAAAAAAATTTGATATGTGTGGTCATGATTTGGTACCAGGAACAAAGGTCAATTACCCGAAAGTTGGACATCCACTCTCTGTTCACTACCCATGACCTTGGTCCTTTGGGCACTAGCAAAAACAGAGTTGTCCGAGAACACCAGCAGATGAGAATCTACATATGTAAAATCAACGTTTGAAAATTTTAACACCGGTAGGAAAAATAATGAATATTGCAGCTTTAAGTAAGTTAGATTTCAGTCCCATACCAATAGCTCCTGTAACTTCAAGCATGAAAACAGAATGTGGTCTATCAAATGGATTAGGCATAAGCACCCCATTCAACTGCAGAACAGGCACTTAGTATTAAACAGGAAAAACAAATGAATATAATTAAGCATCATTTTTCATTCGTTTTACCTTAGAAGAACTAGCAGTAGAAAGTGTAGAAGGGGGTGCAAAACCAAGTAACACTGACACAGCAGCGCCAATTTCTGGGAGGGACAGTGTATTAGTCTGCGAAAGTAAGATATCAAGTATTACACATGATTCTTCAAAATAAAATTCTGTATAAAGATGCGTAATTTGTTAATAAGTATTGCACAGATCCAAAAATTGAGTGGGTAGTGGCAGTGCCGCTTCCATTGCTGATGGTCGCAGGCGGATAGTGGAGGCAGTGGGTTTGGGCTTTTTCTTTTTTCTTTTCTTTTTCTTTTTATTTTTTAATTTCCTTTCATTATTTCTTCTATTGTATTTTATTTTTTTAATTAATCAAACAAGGGTAAAATTGTCATTTAATGGAAATTTGACTTTTTAAGGGTCAAATAAACAGTTTCCATCGTAAAAGGGTGATGGTCGCTAACTTTACATAGGTTAGGGACCCCAAAACATCAAAAGGTTTAAAGGTTTGGAAACCCAACCGCAACTTAACCAATAATTAATTACATAAAATAAAGGGAATGAGAAAAAAGGGTGTTAAAAGGCCATTCTTTAACAGAGCATTATCAATGATTTTGTGATGGTTTCCGAATTCAATGCACTAACCTTTTCTGCTTTTACTTCATAATACAACAGTGATGAAATTAAACTTGATTTCAGAATCTTTTCATGAAAATTTCTATGAAAATAAAGGGTTTCTAAATTCTAAATATTTTCAAGAAATTTTTATGAAACTATGAAGTTCTTCAAGGTACTCATTTTGATCAAACACAAAGACTCGCATGGAAAAATAAATACTGTTGGAATAAGGTTAGAGTGAAGGAAGAAATTGTCTTCATTCTTGAAAGGAAGAAATTTAAATTGAAAAATACCGTAATTTAATAGTTGTTTTTTATTTTTAATTTAATGACCATGTCTGAAAGGCCATATAAAATTCTCACCTTCACATTAAAGAATTGCAACTGTTCTGAAAGGCCATGTCTTTTGGAGAAATGACCATATCCAAAAGCTATGGCCCTGTTTGACCCACATTAATGTAAGAATGATAATGAAAAATATTGTCGTTATGGGCCCCACACAAGAGATAGAAAGTCAAATATGGTAGCTTGTTGTGATGGATAATGGTCATATTTTTTATTTTAATGGGCAAATAATGGGAAACAAACAGGGGCTACATAAGGTTTTTTTAGATTTCTATTTGATCATCAATTTATAGAATATTTTCCTAAAATTCAGCATATATCTCATTCATATACTCCACATCTTGTTCCAAGAAAGTTGGGTTTACAAATCAGAAAGTTTTGTTCATCCATTACTTTATGATGACAAAGCTAGGTCCTATAGAATGAAATCCCTGAGAGGTAATTGCTCAAAGACCTTTGGCACTAGGCCACCAAAATTGTTTTTAAGGAGAGACCGTTCATTTGATCATCTATAATTATTTTCCGATTGCTTTCTTGGATATAAGTTGAATTTAACTTGTTTATCAATTTAATTGTTATGTATGCCTTGCATGATTATATATCCCAGTAGAAGACTAGAAAGATATAATATCGCATGAACTACAATCTTAAGGCCATATGCTCTCGCAGTGCTGAAGGTCTTCGAGCAATTGTCTCCATCTTTAGGATAAAATGGATTTTGTTCCAGAGAACTTCACAGCACCATTAAAAATGAACCAGCGAACATAACTTCCTGATTCGTATACGAGATGAAACAAGATGATAAGATTTTAAGAAGGAAATAATCCAGTAAATTTAGGGAGATCATTTTTTGAATTGAAATCATAATGAAAATCAGGAAGGCCCTGTATATAGCTTCTGGATATGGCCATTCATCTGAAAGTTATGGTCTTTCATAAAGATTGTGAATTTAGAATAAAACGGTGGAATGTTCCACGAAAAGTAAGAATGAGGAACATTTGAAAGAAGGCGACACAACTCATCAAATTTAAATTTAGAGCAATAGATTGACGAGAATGTGAGGTTAAAAGAGAACGAAAAGGTTTTGGTTTGCGTGAATATTATTTTAATGAAGAATGTACTTGTGAAAAGAAAATAGAGAAATATGTATTTTAGGAAAAATGGGAATCAGACACGCCTACTCCAATTCTTCGTCAGAAAATGAAGACAATTTCTTCCTTGAACTTTAACTTTATCTTCCATATCAGCATATAAACAATAAAAATACCATCAGAAAACAATTTAGTAACCTGTGGCTCAGGGGAAGGAGGACGAAGATAATGGTGCTTTGGACTATCCACGAAGAAAACAGATCCGGCTCCATCAGTGACCTATAACAAGCGCAAATTTCAATCAAATCTCAACTGTACTTTTCCCAACATTAAAATCCAAACATTCATACAAACATAGATACGTATAATATATAAATACCTTCGAACGTAAGGAGAGAAGCGACAAGATTATTAAAAGAGTGAGAGAGTAAATTGTGCGAGAATCCATCGCAGAGAGAGAGAGAGAGAGAAGGTTTGATGATCTGATCTGCGTGTGGATCATGTGATGAAGATGTCTAGAAATACAAATATACGACGACGTTTACTGGTTTTCAATGAGGAACTGAATTTCATCTGAATCTCAATATCATCCCCTCAGCTTCTTTTAAATGTGAAATACAGCCCATTAAGTGTCGAAACTTGTCATATTAGTCCAATTTTGTTCCGAAAAGAAGTCAACAGTCATCGGTTCAATTTTCGGCCTGAAGCATCATTTGTTGAGTTTGAAATCATGTTACAAACGCTCGACTAAATAGATATGAATGAAAAACATATTGCCCATCTTTGGTAAAAATTACAATTCAGATTTTAATTTAACTTAAAATCAACGACTCATTTTAATCATATTTTATGAGATTTACAACTTTTCAACCACACATTTCATCAACTTTTATCAAAATTTATTAAAAATCTGATTTTAATCCCAACGAAACAAGGGCATTATAAAATTTGAGTGAAACTAGAAAAAACTAAAAGTTCAAGTAGAAGAATGAATGAACTAAAGGTATAAAGACTTGAACTCGTAATTCACTTTACAAAACGAAGAATGAATGAATTAAACCCCCAATGATACCGTGTTTCAACCCAAATCTAAATAAAACTGCGAGTTACACCTAAATGTGGTTTATTGCCACTTTATAAAAGAAACTTGAAACATCCCCAAAACCTACATCTAGTCTATGGGATGACAATTCAAGAAAGCGAACTTTATGTATGACCTTATAAATCAGCACGAACAATGAAATACCGAATTGCCAAAGCACTTTGCTTTGCTCTTGATCTTTTTAACGCCTGTTCCATTATGAGAAGAACAGTTTGCAGTGTGCGGGGACTCAATGATCCTGTCCATTACATTAACCTTAGGGGCCTCGAGTATGGTCTTAGATGACGATAATGCAAATTGCATTCCCCATATTGAAAGTGGCCTCATATATATGAGAGATCGGAAGTGACCACCTATGGTCCATGCTTCCGGAGTTTGAAATGAGTATCTGCATTAATAAGCAAAAATGTGTTTAGTTGGATGAGTTTAAGTTATAATTTAAGCATCAGGTCCCAGAGAATGTGCAAATATATTGTAGGTCCTATTATATATGTGGATAAAAAGCATGTCTGATCAGAAGTGAGTATAATTTAAGCTTTGCCAAACATTTGCAACACGAAGTGAAATCAACTTACCCGAATCCCTCTTCTGACCAGCCTGCGATAAATATACCTTCTGCTGTAGTAAAAGCCTGCTCCTCCATCCCTGCAAGAATCATGGTTGCAGCGACTCCATAGGTTACTCCACTCCATATTTCCCGGGACTGCATGCAGGTCTCATCCACCTTTCCATTTGGATGCATTCCGTTTACAGCACCCATCCTGCCTCCTCGGACTTTCATAACATTAAAGTCGAAGATTTTCTGAAGCGAACTTTGAATCTTGAAACTGTTGAAAAGATCGGGCAAGCCTGAAGATGCAGTATACCACTGTCCAGCCAGTTGATCTGCTTGGATTGATTTACTGTTGCTACTTGACCCACTATCATAGTTAAAGTAGGAGCCGTTCCAAAGTTTATCTTCATATACAGTTTTGGCCTTAATGAATTTACCTTTGCATTTTTCTGCAAATGGAGTGTCGCCAAGTTGAATGGCCATTGCGGCAGCAGCTTGAAGCGCAGCAAGCCATAACGAACCACAGTAAGCACTTATTCCATGAACAGTCCAAGCATCGTACGTTTGATCTGGGAACCCATCATTCTCAATTAGACAATCATTGTCCCGATCAAATTGTTCCATGTACTCCATTGCAGCACGGACAGCAGGCCACACTTCTGTTCCGAAAGAGAAATCACCTGTTGCAGCAAAGTCTCTATACACTTGGAGCACAAACTTCGGGTTCAAATCCTTCCATCTACTAGTGTCATGTATATTATATGCATTCATTTCGTGCCATGGATCGTGTGTTCCAAGATCATGAGGCACGGCTCCCCTCACCTTGCGGATTCCCCAGTTCCCCTCCGCTAAAAACTTCACTTTTCTATCATCCTCACATAAGACAGCTTTTGCGAATTCCCGTTGAATACTGAGTTCGATTTTGGGAAATAGCTCAAGAAGAGCAAAAGATGCATAGAAGTGCACGTCATATGTACACCACATAATATATTCCACACCTTCCAAATACAGAAACCTACCTACATCATCAGTATCGTTCACAGGGTCCATCGCCTTGTTATAGGAAGTAAAACAACCTTTTGGTTCACCATTCTCAGTAGTACTCAAATTCTCTTTATTCGGATATCTATCAGAAGTAGTTTCATCACAATCTCTGGAACCAACATCAACAAACCTACTAGAACCACTATCCGTAGCCTTCTGAGCAAGTGCATCAAAGTCTGTATTGAACGATAAAAGCAGCCATGATGATATTGTTAAAAAAATCAACACATATTTTTTGAACCACCTCATCAAAAGCATAAGCTATAAGAGATGGGACAAATTTAGGCCCAATTTGATTCCTATTTTTCTCAAAATTCATTTTTCTCTCTTCTTTTCAACCACACATTCTTCATTAAAATAATATTACACGTAAAATTTCATTTTTCCTTAAAAATGGGTGTCAAACACCCTTTTATTCATTTATGTCTCTTATTCAGCAATGTCACGAGCCAGAAAAACAAAAAATATATATATGGAAAATGAAAAGTAATAGAGTGCCATAGCTACCCATAGTTTCAACTTGAATTGTTCATAATATGAATTCATTAAAGATCCATTTAAGAGATAATTTCACTCAATATGAGTATTATGAGCTTTATGGATCAATCAAATGTACTACTTGTACCACAAGCACCATGCCCAAGTGTAACATGTGTCCTGTGCAAAGACATGGTGCACATTGTACATGAGTGGTGTACATGGTAAAGTGCATCTCCAGACACTTTTTTTCAATGGCGTACAGGCTAACTAATATTCAAAAAGACGATCAGTTCAACTAACTTAAATTCAATAAAGATGCACTGAACATGACAATAGAAAATAAGCAGTAAAGGATAGATTAGTACCGATCCAAACTGTTCCTCCAGCAACCAGAAAATAGAGCTCATTGAACAGAGTAAATTTGTACCTGCAAAGCATCAAACGGATTGTTGAGTCCACCAGAAACATATAGGAAATGGAAACTCCAACTAAACAAGCATTGACAGTGACTTGAGAAATAAAAGGTCTTGAGCATGGCCAAATCTTAATTTATGAAGTGTATAAGAAAATTGAAATGACTTTCCAGAGGAGAAGCAAGAAGCTAAACCCTACATGAACATGTAAATGAATGTTAATTTGCTAAAATTCCTGCTATTTGTTATTCTTCCACCAAGGCGCTTGGTATAAAACTTGAGCAGATGAAAGATATCTCGCACTAGGAAAAAGAGAGGGCGGTAGGTCTTGCCATCATTCATATACATGTCACTCTGTATGCACGGCCCACACGCCTTTTACTTTATAAATCTGAAATTTTCTTCCATTTATCCCACTTGACTATGAACCTTGGGTCACAACAAATTGTAGAACATTTGAGGCTCAAGGGGCATCTTGAGTCTCATCTCAAGAAACCAATACTGTCGAGCAGTGGCAAAAGCACTTCTTTACTTGACAAGTAAAACAAATGTCACGAAATGACTAGTGCTCTGGAATGAAAACAGTTCTGTTCAACTATGGCTTACCATTCTGGTAGTTTGTCATCTCTGAGGATAGGATTCTGCCATTTCTCGATCTCTTCTTCCCAAAGCTTATAATCTGGTAAAGATTTGAAAACGGTAAAGGGTAAATAAGCAGCAGGTCATACAACGTGACTTTCTACGAGTGGTGAAACTTAATTTAAGACTTGAAGGATTCAATCCAAGAAATGGTGACAATGAATGCCACAACGGAAATCAAGCAGCTTGAATAAATCATACTCACTTGTCAGTGCGTCGTGCACCAAGTCTTCAGCAGCCCTTTCCGAAGTGCCATAGTATTTAGTGTATCTCCTGGAACCCATGGGAAAAACAGAGGGAAAAAGAATTCAGAAAAAATTGCATCCAACTATCTGAATTATATTCCTTACTCTGATCCACCAAACATGAATTAAACAAAATAAATGAAATATGGAGGTAGAAAGGAAGAAGAAGAACAACCAGAAGAAAAATGCCAGTGTTCACAACCATAGTGAATATCAATCTATACAAGCTCACCAGTGGATATCGATAACAGGGAAAAGATATTATATTTGTGGAATGATCTAAAACAATTAACGCATTCGCAAGATCACAAAGTCCATGAAAAATGAGAAGAATTACACAGTAGTGTCTAGTTTAAAAAATGAGATGAATTCCATCATATCATCTACTCTACTATTTGAACTTTTTCCTTTCACTAACAAATGATTGCAATATTAAAGAGCTAGAAAAAAAAACATATAGACATGTTATCTAATAAGATCAAACAGTAGATAGCTTAACTCTACTGCTACATAATCATGTTCAGGGCAAAATTCTAGATCACAAATAGATGACAGGCCATCCAGATGTTAAAACTGAAAACTTTTTAAGTTAGTGAAATTACCTATTATAGGATTTCCCTTTACAAAATTTAACTTTGGGAGAGGACCATGCAACAGCAAATGCAACAGTGCACTTTCCATGAGGTTCAACCCATGTAGAAGCAGAAACTGCAGCACAATGTGTGTCTCCAGGTGACGATGACATGGTTGGCCCCTTACTGAAGTTCTCCCGGTCAAAATACCCATCCTTAAAAAACAGACAAGTCAGTCAACAATAACAAAACTATGTACAGCCAAAAACTGACAAACCAGAACTCCTATAGAAATTTTAACAAGCCACCTCAATTTAAAATTTTAACAGCTCGCTGTGAAAGCAAAATCTGACAAGTCAACATGCTTTGGAATCATTACCTCTGTCATTTTACCCCACATATCTTTCGCCGTTACGCAGCTTTCTTCGGTCAATCCGAAACAAGGCAAAACCGATACGCTCACATTTTGAGTTTCACATGCAGCTATGGCATAAGTAACAGGAGGGTTATCTTTTGCCGTCCTGCAATTATTATTACAAAAAATGGAAGACAATAGTTTTTGTTATTAACTAACCACATTGAAAAGAATGATGGGCGCCAATGTAAATTTTTGTATTTCTGTAATGAAGTGAAGGTTTTATCTTCTCATTCTTTGCTTGATTTATTCACTTTCCACAAAAATTATGAGATGAACAACTGACTTGCAAAATGGTGCAACATTTTTGTAGACAAGAAACAAAAGAAGGATTTAAAAGTTAAAACCAGTAAAATGCAACACTATACAAAATGACGTCAACCTCCATACCTTTAATATTCAATGCAGTTATAAATCCACTTTAATGGCTAATCGTTATAATAATGTAGCTACTCTAATGTTTTAGGCAGTCAGACCTCATAAAGGTAATAACACAAATCCTTAGCATTTTACGGTTGGTTTATAGAATCTAGCTGACCACACTTGTGAAACATCAATGCTTTTCTCATGACCAAAAACTGAAAATCATAGTCATCATACTCGATTTCAGAAGGTTATAAAATCAAGAATGTTTCATCCCTTCTTGGATGAGTAACTGGTATCTTGGTAAAAGACTACTAGTCTACCACACCAGTGAAACATAAATGTTTTTCTCATGACTGAAAACTGAAAATCATAGTCACCCTACATTTCAGAAGGCTATAAAATCCAAAACATTCCATTCCTTCTTGAATGAGCAACTGGTATTTTGTTAATGCACATTAAAAAGACTACTCTTCAACCACATGACAACAAACTAACCATCAGATTTTCCCAGTTAGTTTAGGAGATAGGCAGTCTTTGTCTTCTTCGGTAAACAGGAAATTTGCAAGATAGAGCCAGATATAAATACTTCTATTAAATAACATCAGGTTAGTATAGTTATGACTAAGGCTAATAAGATCCTTCACAGTTTGTTCCTTTCCCTTCCCAGTGTACGTGTGGAGTGTGGGTAGTTAGTTAAATCCAAGGATATTTGTCAGGTTTTATTTGCGTGTTTGATAATTTTCCCTAAGATCAAAAAGGATTTTAAAAATGTAAAATTAAGGAACCAGAAAATGACTATAGAGCTCATCATTATCATCAACATCTTCAGAGACAAAAACTGTCAAAGAATGATTTCAGTCATTTCCCAGATAATTATTATAAATACCTGTAAGAAAAAAGGTGTCAAAATACAAAATTAACTCTTCTAACTAAAAATAATTGCAGCGAAGTTGAACAATTTTTAGGTGAATAGGTTTTCTTTGTCACATAAAAAAAATAAAATAGAAGATCCCTCATGTTTACTCGATCAATATGACAAAGAACCGGATTGACAAATTTATCTTTTTGTTGTTGCAGAAACCTATTTTTGGCATGAACTGTATTTTATAAAGGGAGCATATTCTTCATTTTTTCTCCTGGTTAATTATATTCCATAGTTATAAAAGTAAATGCTGGAGTTAAACGAGCATGTTCATTACTAAAATTACCCTTATTTCCTTGGTAAACCTACAACTCGTCGTTATCCAGGATCATATTATAAACTTACTTTCAGACACATTTTAAATTTTCATTTTCATTATGAGAACTGAGTCGACAATCAACATTACTTTTTCCTATTTAAACACTTGGACAATCAAAGAAATATCTGCAAACCAACCGTCATATATAGCTATAAAGTTTGATGACTTGCTTGTGATGTAGCAGTACGCCTGAAACTCCATCTTCTCCTCTACAAAAAGAAGTTGGAAAGCAAGAAGAAACAAAGTATCATAATTAGAACAAAATCACACAACACCAATAAAACATCAATGCACAGAAGCTACTCACATAAATGGCTCGTTCACATGATCTCCTGACAGGTGCGAGATACCTCCAATTGAATTCTGAATATAAAACAAACGGCTATAATTGAATATACAAGCACTTGGCCAAATTCTCTAATTGCCAAGATTACCATAGTTATTAGCAGAAAACTCACCGCCCACGTAAAAAGAAGGCTGACCTTTGCCCTTTCCTTGCCAGTATTTACCAACTAGAACATAAAACATGCCATATAAGTAAAGAATCAATATCCCTCTCACAATTCAGGAACTAACTTAATGGATGGTCTTCTAAAGATAAATCATAAAATAGATGAATATTCCCCTCTAAGGGACCAGATCTTCGGTCATAGGATGGACGTCTTCCAAATAAGTAGCATATAAAATTCTGGTCCCTTATAAAAATTGAAGTCTAGGTCCACCAAAAAAAGGGGTGATAACGGCAGCTACTATAAGAATGCCTATCAGCTAGCTGTTCATTAACAAATATACGATTCAAGTAATTAATGCAAGCACTTTAGCTTCCAAATTACAGCAAATATAAAGGAGTTCAAAGTCACTCAGAAAGACCTCTATCATATCAGAATAGGTACGTGAGAATGAGATGATTTAAAAACATAAATATTAAACATGTTTCAAAAATATGTAGCACAATAATATGAAGTCAACATTAGAAGTGAAAAATTGCATACAGTGTAAACAAAAACAGCTGTGGGGAGACTACTCTCTTTATAATTGTGTGGTATAAATGGTGATATCTGCCGACAGGACACCTTCAATTCTGGGTCTGGTTCCCCTGGAGGTATCATGATCTTGTCAGAAGATATAGTATGATTAGAAAACAAATTTATCCTTCAAAACAACTGATTGCAATACCATCGTATATTGTCCACGCCCTAGGAAAAAGAGCATGATATGTAGAATGCTGCCCAGTCAAATTCCAACCCCATGATGATATACCATGATCGCCAGATTTTCTGTCAGACAATTTACATGTCAAATCTGTATTCACACACAGATCATAACATTCATTTTATCTTGAAGCTTGAAACTTCAGAAACATCAGCAAAGTTGAGCTCAAGACTTTACTATAACATCAGTAAGTACATACAGTCATAACATGAATAAGGGTCATTACAATTCAATTAGTGCATTTTACCAACCCCCCTGTGCCCCTGGTCCAGTTTATTGCTACCATCCATTCAACACCTTGTCAAAACCGTCATCCCATCATATATAGGAATACGCAACCACACCTGCACCCACCTCCACCTCACCCCCACCTCAATGATATTCCCAATTGAGAGATGAAGCAACAGTAGGAGAAATGATCAGAACAATATAAGCTCAATTTTTCGACCTCATACTACCTCTATCTTTAATTAGATGGCTAGCTTGCCTTACCTTCTATATTTCAATATAAATATAAAAGAAAAGGGAAAGGTTAAAGAACCCTCCCCACCCCTCAGCCCTCACCCAAAAAAGAAAAAGGAGAAGAAAGAATAATATAAAGATACACATGAAAAATAAAAAATGAAAAAATGAATGAAACAAACAAAAGGAAGACCCTTGGAGGTTCCATTAAAGCTCATTCACGATGGAACAAGCCAATTTTTTACTCATTTTTATACCCGTCAACTTTCTGTGCTGTGCTACTTCAGTTAAAACTACCCAATACTGAATAAATTATTCCCAGCTTGCACTCGGCTAGATTAGACAAGCCAAGTAGCAATTTTAAGCCTTGACAGGATATCAAGCTTAATTTGAACAGCCTAAACCTTGAGCTCAATGCTCATCTACACCCATAGCTGTAATGTTTAACTGCGAAAAATCAAAAGGTATCCCAATCTTTCGAAATAAACCCATAAAATATTAATATATTTTCATTCCTACAGCCAAAAAAGAACTTCTTGCCTACACGCATCCCAATCTTTAAAAATAAACCCATTAACATATTAACATATTTTTATTCATATAGCCTTATTAAAACACAATTAACATCCTACCTTGATAATGTTCAAATAAATATCAAGGGCAAACAATCAAGTGTTACAGCAAAAGACTTTTTTCCCGTAAAATTCATCTTAAAAATGCCATTAAATGCAAAAATCACCCTTGGAGGTTCCATTAAAGCTCATTCACGATGGAACAAGCCAATTTTTTACTCATTTTTATACCCGTCAACTTTCTGTGCTGTGCTACTTCAGTTAAAACTACCCAATACTGAATAAATTATTCCCAGCTTGCACTCGGCTAGATTAGACAAGCCAAGTAGCAATTTTAAGCCTTGACAGGATATCAAGCTTAATTTGAACAGCCTAAACCTTGAGCTCAATGCTCATCTACACCCATAGCTGTAAAGTTTAACTGCGAAAAATCAAAAGGTATCCCAATCTTTCGAAATAAACCCATAAAATATTAATATATTTTTATTCCTATAGCCAAAAAAGAACTTCTTGCCTACACGTATCCCAATCTTTAAAAATAAACCCATTAACATATTAACATATTTTTATTCATATAGCCTTATTAAAACACAATTAACATCCTACCTTGATAATGTTCAAATAAATATCAAGGGCAAACAATCAAGTGTTACAGCAAAAGACTTTTTTCCCGTAAAATTCATCTTAAAAATGCCATTAAATGCAAAAATCAAAATGAACAGAATGTCTAACACGTTTTTGAATGGACCGAAAAAAGGTCTATGTCGAAAGCCCAAAATCATGATGACAAGTAACATCATTAACAGCAAAAACAGTAATTCAATAGGTCCTTGTCATTTGGTATAAACATATAAGAACCATAATCTTTGCACGGTTTTAAAAAGCAACTTGACAGTAGAACGGAGAAAATAAGTACCAAAACCTACTAGCAGATATTGATGAATACAAACATACAAATAAGTTACAGTCATAGAATGCTTCTTTTTTTCTTTTTTTTTTTTGTCTCAGATCCAAATGCCATACAACTGTAAAAATTGGTTTAAAAACAAATCAGATGTAGAAAATTTCTGTTTAAAATTCAATTGTTATTCTCCTTACCCTAACCCTTCATGCCGGCCAGAAGCCAGAACTGATGCATATTTTTTGTTCCCTCCATCTCGAGATATGAAAATCTGCAGTATCAAATGAACGATCAGATAATCACAAGCCATCATTGGCTATCCTGGAAAAATTTTAGAAGAAACTTATTCTTCAAGACATGTTTCTTATTTACTCTAAGTTCAAAATCAGTGGGTCATGTAGTCTATAAAGTTATCAATGACAGTTGACTTAGACAAATATATGGTTGTGCTGTGTTCATAATAACCCTCCGAACATTTCTTTTTAACTAGGTCAGTTTTCTTTATTAGCATTCAGCCAAACAAGAAAAAAAATAATAAATAAATAAAAAAAAAATGCAGAAAGATTAATGAGGAATATATAATAAATATATTGATCATAATGTGTTTCAAGGATTCGTAAAGTACATCTGCAAAGGCAAAACCATGGCAAAAAATTATTACAACAAGGAAAATATCAAACACTAAACAACAAATATGAAGAACATCATTCGGAGTTTGGTATCAACTGAGCATGCAGCTTGATCTACTTTAGATGTCAAGGCACAGTCCCAAATAAAATCTACCAGACGGTAGACCAATCTCTGTCAATAAATATATTCTCCCATAAACAAATGCAGGTAGAATCCCTTGACATAAAGTTGCAACAATGATGCTCCAGAATTACTACACAATTTCCATTTTCTTTGATACCTTAATTTTCAGCAAGTGCAATTTGATTTTCGTAAAATTGCATCAGAAATTTATGTGGTCCAAATCACTAAACCAGAAAAGGGAACAGGACAACACTTACACACGGCTCAAAAAATGGTTGGACATTTGAAATGATATAAATACTTCCTCACACAGCTAACTTTTGCTTCAGACTGAAGTCATATTGAAATGCATTATACATGCCAAAGAAAGTTTCTAAATACAATGTGTTCAGCTACTCCTAGAAATGTCGATGCATGCTAGCTATTTTACATGGAAAAAAAATGAACTGGTAGAAATAGAAAATGTCCTATAGTACAGAGAAGTTTCTGATGAACATTTTAAATGCAAAGCGCTATGTTATGGACTGTTGCCCATTCAATACTACACAAAATATCAGCAAATAGGTAGCACAAACATCAAGCTCAACAGGAAATTGCTGTTAAATTATAAGTTCAAGAGAAGGGCTTTACTGAAAATTGATTGGCCATGACAGGAGAAGTCTCACATATTCCAGGAAGAATTTGAAAACTCCTGAATTCCCCTCTAAAACCTCGGGAAATACTTCCACTTCTGTCATATTAAAAAGAGGGGCCCTCCATTAGGTGGACAAGAATATCAGATAAATAAAGAATAGTTATAATACTACTTACCCCATCCCTCCAAGTGGAACTCCTTGTGATGCCGAAGGCTTACAACTTTCTCGAGTAAAAGGATCGATTGGTGCTTTCTATGACAGTAGATGAAAATTAAGTTTAACAGTAAGTCTGCTTAAAGAACAAGCTTGCTTCTTACAGACTTTTGAACATTATAAAGGAATAATAAGTACCCTTGCCATGAAGAAAAATGTTCAATAAACAAATGCTAAGAGGATAAGAGAGTTACCCTTCCATGGGATGCCTCTTCCCGTATATAATGCCACAAACGTAACCCAAGTCGAAACTAAAATCAACAATAAGCACAGTAAAAGATTGATTGAGAACTGAGAATAGAGATAGGTAAGTATCATAAGAGTGTGTTTATTACCATTTTTATTGCTTCTGTAAATGTAACACTGAATTCTTTAAGAATACTAGCATGGCTATTTAAATTCCTTCTCCATGCTTGTTCCGGAGGAGCAGCACTATCAAAATCAAGCTGCAGCAAAAAATCTGACGGTCAAGTGGCTTTTGGGAGTAAAGAAATAATCAGGGCAAATTGGCAGACTTGCATAGAGAATGGAGCTAAAAACATTAAATGTTGGTCATGTAGATCCCAACCCTCCTACATTTTTTATAAAAATGAAATCCAGTGAAAATGATGAATTGAGAAATAGAAAGTGACAAGAGTGAATTAATAAAGACGAAGAATCTGTAAACTCCCCATCCACCAAAACAAAGTTATCCATTGTCACATAGGCTGTTTATTCAACAAAAATTAAAAATGCACGTTTCATTTTTCATTTTTTCTTTCATTATTTGGCCTCCATTTAAAGATAAAGCCTAAATTAAGACAGCAAATGGTAGAAAAATGACCAAATCATCAGATATCCAATTCAGATTATTATCCAATTGCACCACCTATACCAATTCAAAAGCAAATCAAAGCCTAAATGAATTGCATAAAGATAATTCTGGAAACAGATTTACAGGATACAAGTGCCATTATACTTTGTAGAATCAAACTTCAACGAAAATATTACGAATTCTACCAATAATATATTCAAAAAAATCAGGAAAAAGCTCACCAAATGCAAAGTGTTTCGGTTGATATACTCCTCCGGTGGCCACGAATTCTTTCTACTGTGAAACAAATTCCCAGTCACCATTTCGACCGTCGTTATATATCTGTGTATATATGTACAATCACCCTTCAAAAGCTCAATATCGGATTTTTATCAAATGCCTCAAAACCAGTAAGACCCCCTGTATTAATATCAACCACCCCAATACCCAAAAACTCAGCTTTTAATCCTTCCGAAATCCAATCTTTCAAGCCAACCAACTTTCTTAATTCCTCCAAAAGTTAACATAAACCCAACAAAAAACTTCAAGTCTATGTAACCCCTCGAAAAGAGTTGAAGTGGAAGCGAGAAGATAAAACTCTTATAGTAAAAGCAAAATTAAGCTGGTCTTATGGGATCGAAAATCTTCGGATTGGGATTTGATTAACAGAAGTTAAAATATGGGTTTTACCGAACTCCAAGAGATATTTTTACTGTGGGCTTTGATTGAATTGAATTTCCTCCTTTCTTCCCTATTGGATTTCTCTTGAAAGCACACCTGGAAATATGAACTTTTGTGCAGTTGCCAGGTGGTACACAAACGTACGACTATTCTCTACCGTAAAAAATTCTCCATATAGTATGTATGCGTATGTCAGTAATTTGTGAAATTCGCCGATATTGAAATTGAAGTTTTGAAGAATTTTTTTTTCTTCTAGAATCTAGAGAGAGGAATGAAAATGCAGCATCAAGTTGTTGAATATGGACTTTGTGTAGTTGCATGATTCCATCATTGGTCTGTTTTCTATTTTTATTTTTAATTCAACGCTGTGATATGTGAAAATCTTTGTGCTATTCTTGCAACTATTTGCTGGCTCAGCTTATTTTCTATTATAGATTATTTTTAAATTAATTCACTCATTGTCATGTGTGACTAAACGCTTTCCAAATATTTTTAATTAAGATTGAGCTTTTCTGTCATAATTAATTAATAATAGAGGAATTATTGGTGAATTGTGATTTTTTTTTTGCCAAAATTAGCCTAAAGATAAATGGAATATTCAAATTTAACCAGCACGAAGCAATAAGATCTTTCCATAAAAAATACTACATACTAACAAATCAATATATTTAAGCTTGTTGACGACATAATTAAGTCCTTAGACATTCACATAAAATTGCATCGAACTATCACATTCGAAGTACCACATTCCAAAATAATTTTGTCAAGTTTCTTATTTATTTTATTATTATTATTATTATTATTATTATTTTTAAAGTTGCTCCTAACCTAATGATGCAAAGGGCTCAAACCGCTCGCGAGCTCAGTTTGCCTGGGCTCCATCTTATGCCCTCCGGATTCGTATACAGACAAGCTAAGACTTAAAATATTTTACAAGTCGAAATTGTCGACCACTGAGGCCACTAACGATCACAAATTTGAATATTATGATCGTTCATTAGCCAAGGGTCCTATTTTGGCTCCTTTTTAAAAATTTTATTCCTATAAATATTTCCCCAAACTTCCTTTTTCTTTTTCTTTTTTTCTTTTTTTAATCTCATGTCACAATTCTCATACCTTAATCTCTAAAATGAGGCTCGATATCTGGTCAATGACATGTAAGATTTGATTCTTATTATTTGAGATAGGCATTGATCTCAACTCTCTTAATTTGTGTTAATGATTTTCTAAATTTTTTTTTTTTAACTTTTTACCAAAACAATTAATTTCCTATGTTCAACATTTTTAAAATCGTTCTTTGTCTATGACATGATTTTGAGTCTTTGACCACAAAATTTCACTTCACGACTCTATCCAAACAAATACCACAATTTGTCATGTAGGGACATCAAAAATTGGGGCCGACTTTTTGTTCATTAAAGAAAAATATAAATAAATAAAAAATCCCCCACTCATTATCCCATAAGCGGTGTGTTTGTCATTGGGGCCTATTGAAGTCAATAATGATTGGAGTGAAATGATTTTTCAATTTCTTGGCCAGCCATTTTGGACTGAGCTGACACTCACCGACTTTATAAAAGAGAAAAGTTGAAAAGAACAGTGATTTTGAAATCATCCCTTTGGCTGTGTGCTTAAAAGTTGATACTTAAAAATGAAATTCATACTTGTGATATTTGAGGGGAGAATTATATCAAATCGAGATTTATTATTTGATAAGTAAAAATCGTATTTTTAATGTATACATTTAAAAATATGAGTATAATATAATGTTTTCTTTTTTTTTTTTTAATGCTAGAAAAGCTCATGCCTACAGTGGCAGAACCACGTTGAGACCAGTGCGCTCATATTTCAGGCCCAAACAATTTTTTCCTTTTTTTTTTTAAATCAACAAAGGAGGTGGAATAAAAAGCATGTTTTAATTTAGATGGGTTTTATTTTTAGGCCCAAATCCATAATTTTATTTTATAGTTTTATCATCATTAAATTCATGATCAAAACATAATATTCGACATGGGTTAAATCAGGGGCGGACCCAGACATTTAATATTGTGGGGTCAAAATTTTAAAAATAATTTTTTAATAAACAACATAATATCAATGAAAGTAAGTTTATATGTATTTTGACAATTTGAAAACATCGCATAATTACGTCATTATTAATATTGTTAAATAAATTTTGCTCCTTATAAAGTTTTGTTTATCATTTCATTAGCAAATGCTGAACTAACATTGAGTAAATTAAATAGAATATAGAAATTAAATGAATTGAAATAAAATTCAAGTTTAGTTCAGGAAGTAAATAAAAATCAAATTAGAACCAAATATAATTCGGAAGTAATTCAAATTGTATTTAATCCGTAACAATTCTAAAAAATTTAGGTCATATTTCATGTAAAACTTTCGAATGAAACGATATAAATTATATTGAAAAATTTATCGTGCAAAAATAATAATTAATTGAATTTTTTAAAAGAAAAAACGAATTAGATTTCTTTTTTGAAGTATACGTTTGATACATATTTAACTATTTCTGATATCCTTTTGGACCATTCGATATGAAAACGATGTAGTTTTCGAAACAAACTTTACATGACATAGACGATTTGTGGATTCAGATAGCACATGATCGCAAACGAATTTTTAAAGTTAAGGTATTATCGAAATTTTCAAAATACTAATTTCAAACGTCCTACTTTAACATGTCATAACTTTTGCTATAGTTGACCACTTCGCATGCCATTAATAAGTGAAAAATTAGGTCATGAGCACTTCGAAATGATATTAAGAATGCAATATTTTGACTTCACTTGACACCTCGACAAGTGCATCAAAGTAGATTTAATAAATAAATAAAAAAAACAATAACAGGGGCAAAATTTTGTGGGGTTATTTGACTCCACATGACTCCATGTGGGTCCGTCCCTGGATTAAATTATGCCCGTACTGAAAATATTTCCTGATTCCGTCCCTTCATGCCTATATGAATGATCAAGATAAAATGGTCAATCTATTAAGACAAGATAGTTAGAATTCGACTCTTCAATAACTCATGCTAAAAAATTTAGACAATAAAATAATACCTAAGTAGGAACATATTACTGTTATATAACGGCATATTATTATAAATTAAATACGAAGTCAAATAAAGACTTTTGGGTAGAAATGAATTGAAGAATTCGATGCCAGAGATATTCTTTTATGTTTTATTTATATATTTATTTGTCAGTGATAAAGGTAGTAATATATATGAAAGAAGTAACTTATTCCTTTTGATTGAAATAATAATTTGTGTTAAGAGATCTGTATTAAAATGTTATTGAGAAAAAAAAAAAAAAAAAAGGACAGCAACAGCATTACCTGCAATCATTGGTTTAGGTTCATTGCACCGGAAACATAATATCCTGGCCAATACTAATTCGAAATGATTAAGCAAATCATGACGTATTATTATTAATTAAACCTCTTCTATTTCAAGAAACAAGAATCACATTCACACGTGTAACTAAATGCTTGACGTGTAAAGTTTTCAAAGGCTTCGCGTGTGCAAGTTCTGAATTAGTCAATCCTTCAAAGTAAATTATGATAATCGTCACCTCATAATTTGACAAAAAAATTTATAATTTTCGTCCAGTCTCATCCCGTTTCCTAAAAATCTACAACAATGAGAAGACTTGCCTGTCGCAATACATAAACAAAGATCCAATAGATAGCAGTATCATACATCTTTCATCATCACGTATGTCAATGCGTCGATCAAAA